CACCCTCACACCTGAGTGTCCAGCAGGCTCAGAAACGTCCTTCCTGGGGGTGTCCCTGTCACTGCAGTCCATCTGCAGGGAAGACACTCCCCCAGGGGACAGGGGGTCCACAGTGAGAGTCACCAGAGGGTCTGGGTTGCTATCAGCTGCTCCTCTTTTGTCGACTGTCTGGGGTATTTTTAAACCTGTATTTGCAGCGAGGAAGGTGCTTGTGACAGGCGCTTGAAGAAGAACCTGCAGGTGGGTAACGGGGGCTCTCCGACGCAGGGATTTGGGGGATGAAGCTGATGCTGGGGCTGCCCTGGGTAACACATGCCTTTCCCTTCGATTCAGGCTCTGCTCCCAGGAGAAGCATCATTTGACAAAGGCTGGCAAGCTGGCCCTGAAGTCCCCTGGGGACATTGACTCAGAAAGGGTGGCTCCTGCGGGACTCCCTGGGTTTGTGTTTAACTTGCCTCAACCTCACCAAATGGCAGGGTCGGTGATCAGTAAACAGGTGTGCAAGCCCAGGACAGGAGCCCCTGGCTGGGAGGAGGAGCAGGGTGCTCCAGCCCGCTGGCTTCTGGCTGGCCTGGGAGCACCCAGGGCAGACATGCCCCACCCCACACTCCCCCTGCAGAGCGCAGCTTTGGACTCCACACGTGGCAAAGGAAGGGGCTGAGCTGGTATTTGAACTCAGGGCTTCACAGTTCCAAAGCGTACATTTCAGTGTGAGACGGTAGCGCACAGGCTGCCCAAGTTCATGTCCCAACTGTAACCCCTCCAAGTTCCTTCACCCTTCCTGGCCTTGCTTCTCTCAGTTGAAAGATCAAGAAAAGAAACACTTCGCTTGTAGGACTATTGGGGGGTGTGTGTGGGAAAGCACTGGATATGGTGTGTGCCCCTAGCAGGCACTGAGTGCTCACTGACCCCCTTTTTACCCAGAGAGAAAGCTGATGGCCCTCCTCCACGGGCCCCATCAGAACCACCCGCCTGCCCTCACAGGGCCACTACCTCCCCCTGGGTCCTTAACTCTCTCCCTGCTGCTGCTTGGCAGGTCCTTCCCTGAATCTCCCTCCCTCCCCTCCTCTGGCCTCTGTTGAAATGTCACCTGCTCAGGGAGGTCTTTCCCAGTCTCACTGTTGAAAGTGGCAGACCCCCCCCCACCACCGCCCCAGCCCTCAGGCTCCTAACTCTGACCCTTTGTGTTCCCAGCATTTCCACCATGCAGCCAAGTGCATATTCGACTTCCTTAGCACATTTATTGTCCCTCTGTCTTTACAATGATGCTGCTAAGGGAACAGGATTGATTTTTATTCATAGCTGTAGTCCCAGAGGTTCTCAACAGTGGGCTCTTTGGCTCCCTAGGGATAAATGGCAATCTCTGGGGACATTTTTGGTTGTCACAACCTGGTGTGTGGTACTGGTATCTGGTGGGTAGAAACCCTAGGGGGGTTGCTGAATATCCTACAGTGCCTGGGACATTTGCCAAAACACGAAGTGTGAGGATCATTCAGCTCCAAATGCCAATGGTACCACAGCTGTATCCCCTTTGCTTAAATCAGAAGTTGTTATGTGCATATTAGGTGCTCAATAAATGCTTGTTAGGGAAGAATAAAGAGATGTTATCATCACTGTCATCATGATTATTTAAGAACAGATATGGTTAAGAATAATCCTTAAGAATGGATGTCCCTCCCAAGTTTATGGCCAACAAGTCACACTGGTGGTATGTCACATCTTCCCTCTGGCCAGGGGTCTGCCCTCTGGAGCACCCAGAATGGGTTGCAAACTGCTCATTGCTGGATCATCATGAGCTAAGACAAGTCCATGTTGCCAGGCACGGGGGAGCCCCGGTGAGGCTGCCCCACCCCTCATTAACCAGCCTGGCTTATGGGCTGCCTGGGTGGGGACGCTCAATCCTGGTCTCCCAGCACTCATGGAAGCGCTCAGGATTTTTTGCTCAGTGGGGCCAGGAGCCACCTGTGTTCAGGGCCACCCCAGCAGGATCCCTCTCCTGCAGCCCAGAAGCCTCTCGGGTCTGGGTGAACGATGCTGTTTTTGCTTCTCTCCAGAGAGGGTGATGTGACAGACATGGACGGTCAGGGTGGTGCAGGCGTCGGAACCTCCCCTGGCCCAGCCCCGCCCCGTCAGCCAGGGGATACTTCCTTGTTCTGCTGACCTAACAAATTGCCACTGACAATGTGACAGACTGTGCTCACATACAAAGAATACCACCTATCGACTGCTTGGACCCTCGGGACTGTGCGTTGGACGGCCATTCCCTGAAGGGCAGAGGAAGGAGGCTTCTGCCTTTTCCTGGGGTTTTCTTCACCTCCCTAGGGCTGCCAACGCCTAGGTCAGCGCCATCTAACACCTCGTTCTCTGCAGGCGCCCACCCTCTTCCCACCAGGAATTCCACTGAGATCTACCACTTTCCCCGCCTGTGCCCGCCTGGGTTGCATCTCCTCCCCAGGCGTCCTGGGCTTGGCAATTGGGTCTTTATATTGTGGTTGTCGTTATGAAAAAGTCCTACATTCGCCACAGCAGCCGCGAATGGTGAGCCTGGCCACGTCCCATCTTCTCTCTCCTGCGCTCCCCTCTGTTCTTCTGCCCTCTCCCTCTCCTCCCAAACATGCTGCAAGTTCCTAAACAAGTCATTGATGCTAAGGTCCACTGGCTGAATAAGTGGACGCAAGGCCATGAGCCAGAGGAATAGGTCTCTCATGGTGGAACATTGCTACCAAACAGCTAGGTTTGGGCAGGGAAAGGATGATGTTTGGTGGGCAGGGACTTTCCTGATGCCCCTGAAGTCACATGCAGCTGATCTAATTCTGCCAGGGAGTAAGACCGGTGTAAAACCCATGATGGGAAGACAGGGCAAGCATATGTGTGCCAAGCGACCACTTGGAAATGAATCAGGAGCCTACATGGGGTGGCCCAGAATGTTGATGGCTAGAAGCCTGGGGACTGAAGTACCAGCTCTCCCCAGAGGGAGGGCTTGGTAGAGATTCCTCACTGAATCTGTGAGAGTCCCTGCTACAAAAATTCACCCCACTACCCGGGCTCTAGGGATAGCAGGAGGCATCTCAGCTCATGGGCACCTCCCCCAAGTCCAGTGTCCGAGAGTCTGGCTGGATGCTGGGAGAAGTCAAGGCACAGCAACCTGACCTGGACACCTTTAGGGAACTGCATGCTGTCACCTGTGACGTTACTTAGTTCTCATAGCGCCCTGGTGGCTGGTTTACAGATGAGGAAACTGATTCTCCAAGCCGTGCAGTGACTTGGCCAATGTCACCCACTTAGTAGGTGCACTAGCTGGGGTTTGGAGCCTACATTTCCCACCACAACCCAAGGCCAGCCTTTTCCAGTCAAGTGTGAACAATTCAGCCAACCCTCCCCTGCATCTCCTCCCTACCAAGTCACGAAACCCTGACTCAGAAGGCTGAGAGTGCTGAGCCCCCAGGAGACAGCCATGGACGAGGGGCCCACCAGGATGCCGGAGTTCTTATGTCACCAACAGTCGGCCATCTCCGGCCAGGGCAGACGCAGTAGCCCTCACCACACACAGCTCCTCAGCACATCCACTGCTTCCACATGTCGGGAGGGAGGTGGAAGTTTGGGTGGGGACATGAGATCTCACCATTATTAGAATTTGAGGGGGGTTTGGCCCTGAGATGCCCTCAGCTATGCCCAGGTACCAAGTTAATAGAGAAGGGAGGCTGAGCTAGGGCTTCTCAGGCAGGAAGGGGGCACCAGCAGGAGGGACTGGCTATGGGGTCAGCAAGGAGGGGCAGCCAACCTGTCCCCAAGATACTGTGGTCCTGGGATGTCCTGAATCCAGGACATCAGATGCAGGCTAGAGTCCCCACCCCCATCTCCAGGGCAATTCAGGCTGTTCATTCATCAAGCTGGGGGGGGGGGTTGTAGAGAGAGAGAAAGGAATAGGTTTGAGGTGGCTGGGGTGAGGGTCTCTCCCCTTGCGGTCCCCTGGATGGAGGTGAGCAAGAGCCAGTTCTGGTGACATTCTGAATGTGATGTCCATCAAATTGCGACAGGCTCCCACTCGCAGACCCTGTCCTGGATCTTGCTTTCCCTGGTCATTGACAATCTGGTACAAAGTGGTGAGTCTCTTCCCTTCTGGAGACAAGAGCTTCCTCATCCATGGAAGGGGGCATGCGTGTGCCAGGCAGGTCGGGTCAGGGCATGTGGCTGTGCCTGGGCAGTCAGAATATAAGCCCCTTTGCTTCCCAGCCAGGCACCTGAGATTTCTCTCTCAAGCCCCTTTCAAACCGGGAAGGGATAATCCGATTTCACTTTTAAAATTTAACAAGCAGCATCTTCATCAATTGCCAAATTAGGATGAGGCCAAAGAGGTCAAGTAATTAAAACAAAGGGCTCTGGAGTGATTGGGGACATTTCTTGGCGTGTGACTGCGGGTTGATATCTCACACTCAGCCTCTGCCGCAGGGTCCCGATGGCCGCCCCTCTTCTGCCCTGCGTGCCCATCTCTGACCGGTGGCACCCAGCAGACCCTGCCCTCCTACCAACCGGCCCCAGGCATCCTCGCTGTCGAAAGTCCGGGGCGAGCAGCCGTCCCTGGGCAGACTCACCGGAGACTGGCCGGTTGGTCCCACCCGTGGGTAAGCCAGTCCACCTGGCAGCTCAACAGGTGTTAGTGGGCTTTCGTTTTCTACCTGATCCGGAAAATTTCTGCCAGCCCCATGCAAGTCCGTCGAGGGAAAGTCTGGCCTCAGTTTCGGAGTGGAAAACTGCCCAGCAGCGTCTGCAAAGAGGGGGCGTCATCACCTCCCCCCGCAGTCCTACACACACACACACACACACACACACACACACACTCACACACACGCCCGGCTCATTGCAGGACGCGCGCTCGGTGCCGGCCTCTGGCTCGGCGGTGACGGGCAGCCCCGCGCAGTGGCAGAGGCACCGGCGGGAGATCGTCCCCTCCCCCGACCCCCAGGAGGGAAGAGCTGGTCTCCCGCTCTTCTGGCTCCTACCTCGTACGAGCAGCCGCGATCCCCGCCCCGGGGCGAAGGTTCCTCGCCGTCTGGGCTGCGGGCCCGAGGTACCGTGCAGGCTGCCCGGGCGCCCGCCCCGTCCGGTCCGCGGGAGCTGCTCCTCGCCTGTGACAGTGGCTGCAGCCGCCGCCGCCGCTTTCGCTCGGGACCCGGAGAGGGAGGGACAGGCAGGGGCGGGGCCTGGGCGGGGCCTCCCCGTCTGCACACCAGGAGCTGGCAGCCGGGGGGGGGGGGGGGGGGGGGGGGGGGGCGGGGCCCGGGGCCCGCGGACACCGCCTTCCGCCGGGAGGGGCGAGCCTCGGCTGGAGCCCCCCGCGGGGACCGCAGGTGAAGAGTTGGGGGCTGGGGGCGGGGGAGGGTTCGAGGCTGCTTAGGTTTGGCTGAGAACTGCCGTGAATCAGATCTACCTTTCAGTGCCAGCGGCTGCTGCGGGGACTGTAGGACTTTTTCAAAACGACAACCACAACTATAAGGATGATGGCACTGATAACAGGACGACGTGGCCGCTAATATTTATTGAGCACTTACTGTGTGCTAGGCACTGGTCGTGCCCTTTGCATGTCTCAAGTCATGTAACCTCACAACACCCCCACTTTACAGATGACAGAAGGGGGCACAGAGAGCTGAAGTGAGGTGCCCCAGGACACACACCTGGAAAATGGCAGAGCCTGATTGCAGCTCAGGTCTGGCTGGCTCCAGGGTGGCAAATCATTTGCCCCTCTTACCTATTAAATGGAAATATATACAATAAATGATGCCACCTAACATTTTCAGATTTCTTCTTTCTACACCTTCTCTGTCTCCTTTGTTCTCTGGGCCCTGGACATGCAATAGGTACTCAATAAATATTTGTCAATCGGCAACTGATTTGAAAGCTACAGCTGGAGCCAGGGTGGCCTGTCCAGCCTGATTGGCTGGTACAACACAAGGATTCAGTTTTCCTGACTTGAATATTTGCCCAACTTCTTTTTCTCTGTAAGGGCAGCCTGACCGGCCCTCTGGTCCAGCAGCTTGCACACAAACCACCAGCTCCTGCTCCTGCTGCCACTGGGAAGGGGCAGCCAATAGGGATGGGCTGACAGGGTGCAAGCTCCAGGTCACAGAAGCTTCCCGTGGAAGGTCTGTAAAGCTCCTTCAGACCATCGAGTGGCCAAAGATGAGGAGTATATATAGATCTGGGGCAAACGTAGGTTGCTAAGTAATAAGACATTGGTAGTGAACATAGTGGCCAAGGACTCCTGACCTGGGTATCATGGGAGGACATTGCTGCATATAAATAGGGTCATTTACAACTGGGACAACTAAAAATTTTTGGAGAGGACATGCCAGGTTTCCATTCACAACATTTTTAGGCCCAGAAAATTCTCAACTTTTTTTTTTCTCTTCCCAATAGGAGTGCAGGCAGCAGGCCTGACCCATAGTAGGCGCACAGTTAATATTTGCTGCATGAATGACTCTAAGTTGGAGAAGTGTTCCCTAGACTGTCAAAGAGAAAACCTCCAACAGTCAAAGCCGCAGCTGGAGATGGATCAGAGATATGAAAAAAGAGAAATAGGTTGAGCAGCCAGGAAATGTGCTTTTAGAAAGATCTGCAATTCATACTCCCAGAGAAAACCAGAGGGGCTGGCCTGGGACCATGTCCTTCAGGGTCATCTCTTTGGGGCAGTGGCTATGTCCTTGGGCAGCTGAAGAGTGGGTCTGTGGAGGGAAAGAGGTGACCAGACTCCCTGGAGATAAGTATGCAGGAAGGGGTGTCTTGGGAGAGGATATCCCTTCTCATGAGCTGATCGAGGGTTGATAGAATTCCCACTTGCTTTTTAGATAGCTCCCTCTTTGACCAGTGTGACCCTGTTCTCTGGATTTTCTTGCAATACCCATGGTGAAATGGCCTTTGGAAGACGCATTTTCCCTTTAGGAGGGAAGTGGGTTTGCAGAGATGCTCATGGCCTTCTCCCCAGCCTGAGGCAAGTGGGGAGCCAAGACCTGGGGCCTGAGCTGCATGGGTGGGTTAGTCAATGAGTCCTTCTACCTGGCTCTGCCTCTAACTAGCTGTGTGACCTCAGACAAGTTATTTAACCTCTCTGAGCTTTAATTTACTCTTCTATAATCAGGGTTGGCTTCATAGGTGTATGACTGGGCGGTCACATAGCCCTGCTCTTGGGAAACCTCTGTGCTTGGTTTAACGATGTACTTTCACCATCTCGAAATTCTTATTTTTTTTTCTTTATCAAAGGCTGCACTTTAATTTTTGCATGGAGCCCATTTGACGATGTACCTACCTCACTTACCTCGCTGGGTTATTGTGACACTCCAGTGAGATCCCCTTTGAGGAAAGGCTGATGCATAGCAGGCGCTCCACAGGAATGACCTCCCTCCTTGGATCTGACCATGAAGGATAAATAGAAGTTCAGCAGGGAGACTGAGGGCGGGAGGGGTTTCAGCCAGAGGGAGCATGTGTGAAATCAAGTTCAAGCGGAGGTGAAAGGGCTGGGGCAGAGTTTTGGTGGGCTCTCATCACTGTGACAAAATACCCAACAAGAGCAGCGGACAGGAGGAAGGTTTATTTGGGGCTTGTGGTTTCAGAGGTCTCAGTCCTCAGATGGCTGATTGCATTCTTGTGGCCCACGGTGGGGCAGCACATCGTGGGGGAAGGACCACGTCCCTCGTGGCAGCAAGGAAGGACGGGGGAGGGGCTGCAGGGACGATGCACCCTTCCAGGGCACACCCCCGTGACCCGCCTCCGCCAGCCACATGCCACCTGCCCACAGCCACTACCCAGTTAGTCCATTCAGACGAGGATGAACCAATGAGGTTGTCCCAACTCTCATAATCATTTCACCTCTGAATATTCCTGCATTAACAAGAACTTTCGGGGGGCACCTCATATCCAACCCTTAACAGGTGGAAGACATAGACTGTGAGGGCCCAAGTATGGAAGCCCTTCTGACTCTGACAGAGTGAGGACCTCAGGGCAGAGGCCTGTGAGCAGCATCTCGGAAGGAAAGGTGAGGGGAAGGTGAGTGGGCTGGAGTGCCAACATCCTTGCCCCCACGGGTTCAGCCGCCGCCTGCTTCAGATAATGAGACAGGCAGTGGCTGGCGTGGGTGGGAGCCCTGCTCACAGGCTGCCAAGGCGGCGGTAGGAACCGTTTGTTGTAGACATAATGGGAAACTGCTGTAGGTGTCACAGCCAGCAGCTGTGCTTGGGGACCTGGGGACTCCGGGCCTGATGAATAATGGAGCAGCCCTTCCTCCCTGGGTCTCTTTTTCTCTCTTCTCAATAATTCATGCATTCCCCATTAGTTGAGGAGTTTCATAAAATCCCAGCTTTCTCTGAATCCAGGGCCCATCTGAGCAATCTGACGGCTTCACGCATGAGCACTTGGCTAGAAATATGCTCTCAGGCACATCTGGCTGGGTAGGCCGGACCTGGTGTCTGGGTCCAGAAAAATGCTGCGCTGTGTCAGGGAGGAGGACCGGTCCTCCAGCCCCGCCTGGCTCCTTGCAGGTGGAGGGGGTGGCATGTGTCACTTCCAGGTGGAGGCTTTGCCACTCTCTTCTACCTGCCTTTGGGATGCAGAGGCAGGTGAGAGGATGCCTTCTGTAGCTCTGAATTCCCCTGTGATAATGAGGAAGGAGTGAAACTTCCTTGCTGATGTCACATAGACACATGTCACAGCAGGAAGAAGAATGTCTGTTGTTTGAGGCCACTGCAACTCAGAAGGCTGTTTGTCACCTCCGTGTTGGTTCTATCCCCGTGATGGATCTAACCCCACCTGTCTCCCTTCCTCCTTCCCTTTCTTATGCCTTCGAGCACACACTGAATCCTTTACCTACAAGCCAAAGGGCTGCACTCTCAGTGGTACAATAGATGGGCTGGGGAAGAGCTCCAGACCCCAGGGGTCATCAGCGATGACGTGGAGCAGTCAGTACCAGACAGACAAAGGCATGCCGCGCAGTACTGGGAATGGAGGGGTGGGGCTTCTGTGCAGATCCAGGTCAAGATTGCAACGGGTGTGACCTGAAGGCCTGCAGGTAGGAATCTGTGTGTTTGGGGGGTCTGGGGCATTGGGAGGAGGGAGAGGGTTCAGTGAAGACAGGGGGTGAAGGCAGACAGACCGGGCAGGGTGGAGCCAGAGGAGGCAGGCTCCTCGTAGAGTCCTCCCTGTGGAGGGTTGATTCGTAGCCATGCCATTAAGGCCTATTACAACCAATGTCAATCACGTGCGAGGCGCTTGCCGTGTGTGTGTGTGTGTGTGTGTGTGTGTGTGTGTGTGTGTGTGGTTCTCATGACACTGTGAACTAGGACATTCCGACCTTTTTATTTCCAGATGAAGAAGTGGCCGTTTAAAGAGCAATTTACCCTAGGAGAGACCAGATATAGCATTCAAAGGAGAACGACAAGGTCAGGCTCCATCTGCCTGGATGTCACCCATGCCAAGAGTGGGACAACAACCAGAATCTTCAGGCCACTGTCGGGTCCCAGGTCCCTGGGGCTGTCTCAGCAGAGGGCCTAGACCTGTCCAGAGACACACAGTCCAGTGACTGGGAAGGTGGGGAAGGCTGGGTGACAGGCCAGGAGGTTCAAGGGATATTTCAAGAAACAAGGGACTGATCACCATTCTTCCTTTGGAGGGGGGTTGTGTCGCCACACAGCACTTCCTGCCCAGGGGGTACCCACAAGGTGGGCTGGGGTTTTGCCCGTGCTTGGCCTCCAGGTGAGATGCTTGCTCACCAGCTGTTCCTGCCTGTGGACTTGACCTTGATGGGCGGGGCAGTGGGTGATTATGCAGGGACACTGGCTCTACCTCACCTTCCCCATTCACACGGACCTGGCCACACCCCTCCTTTCTCTGACACCTCTTTCTGTTCATCCTGAAATTTCCCTGCCAGCACCCACCACCTCTCCCCAGTCCACTGAGTGCCTTGTCCAGGCTCTGAGTGTGGCAGGCCAAGAACAATTCCTTTCTTCAACAGGAAGTGCTGCCCCTTGTTCTCTGGGCAGCAAAGTGGGAAGCCTGGGGTGTCCGCAGAGCCGCCTGCTCCCCTGCCAGGTGGCCAAGCTGTGGCTCATGTCCCCAAAGGCTGTCCTCTAGGCTGTCCTCCCTGCTCTGCTGTGGCCAGCT